AAATAAAAGATTTTTTACTTAGCATTCATGTATTTAAAATTACTACAGCTTGCTAGTTTTTAGTAAATTTTATTACAGTAGCCAGATAAGCAAGAACCTTTGGGTTGGGAGTCTTGAAAGTACCACTAACTAAACTACTAGAATGAATCATAGAAAAAGGATATCAGGCTAACCCAATATATCAATAGACTGGTTATAGTCCTATACAAACTATCTAAATTGGAGTTTGGTAAAAAGATAGGAAAAAAGACAGAGGTATACTAAAGTACTGGTATTATACTATGAAGTAGATGCTAAGATCTAAATAAACTCTATAAGGGCATAGTGATTTAATGATTAGTTCTGACTGCAAGTGTTGATTCTGTTATAGCAATACCTAGATCAGTTATAAAAATGGGTACAGAAGGTTCTGGAGAGTTTACTTTAAAAATAAATTAGTTCTAAGATTAAAATGATAATCTGGATATCTGAGTATGATCTAGTAAGTTAATACAGGTTACAGGTTCAGAAAGTTTAAAATAAAACACCTAAGCAGAAGTGTTAGGTATGGCAATTGGTAGAGAACTTTTGAATGAACTTCTTAAATAGGTAATATAGAAAAGTTATATATATAACTAATTGTATACTCTTCTGTAGTAGTTTATTAAACTACAATACTAATAAGTGATTAATAAAAGTCAAAAAACCAAAGAGGTCATCTTAAAAAAAAAAATAATAATAATAATATAATATAATGATTAAACAAATAACTTCTATAATTATAAGTGTTATATAACTATAATATATTATATAAAACTAGATCAATTGTATATAAAATATAAAAGATTCTAATAAGTTTCTTGTTAAAAATAAAGTAATCTTAAAGTTTTTGAATGTATTAAGTATTTTTAATAAATGTAATCTTAAAAATGGCATTATAATACAAGTTAAAATTACAGTATATATACAAAAAATTTAAATAGACAAAATCTGTAATTGCTTACAAATATAATATTAAGTATAAAACCTATATAATAATATATAAGTGAACTACTTAAATTAGATACTAAAAGTGTATATATAACTAGTTGTAATCTCTTATATATAAATATTTTTAAAAACATTTATATTCAAAAAACTTGAATAAAAATATTACTTTTTAAAGACAGAGATTTCAACTTAAAAATAAAGCATATATAGATTATTTTTATAAAGCTTTATATGTTTTTTTAAAATTTTTATTTAAAATTAATATATATTACTAAAAAAACTTTAATTTTTTAATTAATTGCTAATTCATTTATAATTAATATTGTTTCTATATTAAGAATTAAAATAAATTTATTATTAAATTTATTATAAAATAGAATCTAAGATCTTTGTTAAGATAAGTAATTTTTTATTAATTAAATATTACTTTAGCTTTTAATAAAAGTTGTAAAGCATACTTTTATAATTCTAATAGTAGTAAAATTGTTAAAATCAACCTACTATATTACAAGATATCATCAATAAACTTTTCTAATTATATAAAATTTCTATATAATTAACAATGTTGTTTATATAGAAGTTTTATATAATTGAAAAAAGTTTTTGATAATATTTCATAATATAATAGGTCAATTTTAATAATTTTATTTTTATTAGAATTATAAAAGTAGGCTCTATAATTTTTATTAGAAGCTAAAATAATATTTAATTAATAAAAAATTATTTATCTTAGCAAAAATCTCAAATTCTACTTTATAGTAAATTTAATATTAAATTTATTTTAATTTCTAATATAAAAATAGTACTAAACAGTGCTAATTATAGACAGATTAGTAATTAATTAAGAAAAAACTTTTATAATATTATAAACAAAATTATTTATCTATTATAATAAAAATATGAACTATTGTATTATTTTAAAAAAATATATTTGTATATATAATAAAGTTTTTTTAAATTGATTAAAATTTTCTTAGATAATATAAAATTAAAGAATTTAATTAGTTAATTTATATAAATCTATAAGTTAATTTTAGAGTGTTGCTATTTTTATTTTTTATTTTTGTTAATACAGTCTATTTTCATTTATATTAACCTATTTGGATTGGTTTTAAATTATATTGATAGTGATATTAATGAAAAATTATATTAAAGTTGATATATATAAGGAAATTTTGATATATAAAAATTTATAAAAATTTGATTTGTGGCTTAGGTTGATATTAACAAGATTGATACTAATAGGATCAACTATATCACCTTCTAAAATACATAAAAGTGCTTTGAAAAAGATATTATTATTAAATAAATTCCTTTTTTAGTATTAATTAAAATTGTTTATTAAATCTTTTTGATTCTATTAATAGTAAAATTATTAAAATCAGACTGGTAGTTCTTTATTAAAAGTAGATTAAAAATTATAAAATTTAGATATGAATATTTTAAATACTACCAGTCTGATATTAATAATTTTACAATTATTAAAACTAAAAAGATCTAATAAATAACTTTAATTAATATCAAAAAAAAATTTATTTAATAATTATATCTTTTTCAGAATACTTTTTTATATTTAGAAGGATAATATTAACAAAAATAAAAGGTAAAAATAGCAATTCTCTAATTTTATTATATAATTTTATATACCAATATTTAAAAATTCATATATTAATAAGCTTTTAAGATGTGATAACTTAGTGAAATAGATAAGTTGTCAAACCTTTAAATGATAAGTAATAAGTTTAAATCTTACTAATAACAAAAATTTAAATAATTACCTATATAATATTTGTATTACAGCAACTATTCCTAATAATTAAATTAAGATATCTGTAATTATGATCATATTAGCATGACTGGTAGGTTATGAAATATCTATGTAACTAGTTATATAAAGAAATGCAAACCAGCATTAGGTAATGCAAACCTAAGATAAGTTTTTGAGACTGTATAAATTTGTAGAAATTATAAAACAAAAAGCTTATTTAAAGAAATTTGAATAGAAAAATAATATGAATCTTTGATAGTACTATTATAAAGACTAGACCTAAGAAACAAATACAAATATGGAGTATCTAAACAGGTAAAAATCTCTAGATAAGAAGTACTACCAATTAGGCTGCTGAAATTTTAAAAAAACTAAAAAGAAAAAATATTAGACTAACTGAATATAATAATAAACTGATCATAATCTTACTAAACTATCTGAATTGAAAGTTTGAAAAAAAGACAAAAGTATACTAAAAGTACTAAAAATATACTATAAAGTAAGTGCTAAGATCTAGGTAAACTCTACAAAGACAAATCCTGTTAATGATCCTAGAATAGGTAGGTTAGTTAACAATAAAACTTTCTGAATTCTATAATCAAGTAACATGTTCTGAAATTAGATAATGACTTGACAAATGTACAGAAAAGAAGACATAATGTTAGGTTAGATGATACTTAGATGTATAAGAACTGAGGTAACTAATTGTCTAAGTGTAGTATAGAGACCAGAATATTTAATTAGATAATCTTTTAGTAAATTATAAGTATAAGAACTAATATAGAACTCTCAGGCAAACTACTTAAATAAATAATTAAAAGTTACATATATGACTAGTTGTATACTCACTCTGTACAAATAATATATAATGTATTAACTAAAAATATAAATAAAGACATTAACTACTGTTAACATTAGCCTTAATAATAATAATAAAAAATAATAATAAGTTTTTAACCAATTTTAATAATTTTGTTATCATTAGAATTAGAAAGACTTACTCTACAACTTTTACTTAATAATTTAAATTAATTAACTTAATATAGTTTTTTATAAATTTAAATATAAAAAAGAATTACCATTAAGTTTATGTATAATTTTAAAATAGTATACTCTATCCTTAAATTTATATAAAAATTGATAATCGAAATGCGAGATTTTGATTGGCTAATAGAAGACCGGAGAATTTATGTAACCTTGATGGTCGCTCCTGTTCGACAGACCATAAATTTAAGTCTGACGATGATTGTTAATGTGATTATTCATCATTAAATATTAATTGTTACGTCGGGATTATGGTTTCGAAATGGAACTCAGCCCATGAGAACGCAAACTTGTTTAATCAAATAAACATTAAATCGGAACTTTATTATTAATCAGCAGTAAGTCAAATATCTTAAGATATCGAAAGTATAATTTACAAATTATATCGCATTAAGTTCATGTTCTCACCACGACCTTGTTAACTAGATCCTATGATTAAAGTAACATATATATATAAACTCATACGTATGACAGTATACATATGACTTTATTTATAGTACTATATGTGCATTAACATTATATTTATTCCGGTAAGACCATTCTCACGGTGGAATTTTCTATGGAACCACTGGAACATCGGAAAATCCGAAAGTCCAGTAGAGTTCCAGACTCCAGCATAAAACTGGTAACATTTATGGCGCTTTACTGCCTCGATGGTTATTCCAAAGACTCGAAGGTCGATGCGATTTATATTTGGCATAATACAGACCACAAGCTAGAACATAGCAGAACGAAGAAATAAGTTTAAGACTGATAAAGTATACAGAACAAACCCTTAATAAGTCTAAAAGTTGTACCGTTACAAAGTTTTTGGTCCGGAGTCTCTCCTGCCCGCCATCCTGGGGTGTTTGAAGTTTTGCAATTACCACAGATCCACCCTAAATAAAAGCATGTGAAATTAGTATTATATTGATGAAGTCTGATAATATTACAATAAAAATTTCTGCAATTATTGCTATCCATCGGTTTCTTTCCATAAACTTGAATAAAATCTCCTTTATTACATAAGGAGAGCAATAGAAACAAATCAAACTGAGTAATTGTTAACTTATTTACCCTCAGAATTACTATAAGTACTATAACCGCACGTCTTTTTCTCGATTGTCTTTATCTCTTTTGTCTTTTGTTTATTAGCAAGCGTCATACCATGACGCTCATATTCAGTGATAAAGTATTGATCTTCGTTTTTCTGTAAAAATCTTTTGTCACAATAACCATTAGAATCACAGAATTATAAACAATATGAACAAATTTTAGTTTCGGATTACTTTAAGAAATCAGCCAAATGCTCTTCGAGAGTCTCGGTAGTTGTTTGATCCATATGTGTGTGAACAAGTAAACGAGGTAATTCGACTATATTTATTGATAACAATTAATCAATGAATACATATAATCATTATAATCAACGGATTTTTATTACCAAAGAGCCTCAATAGGTGTTCAGCTCCATAAATCTCTGCGTTCTCTTTCTCTAGAAATTGCTTACGAATATCAACATATTGTTGTCGTTCGTAACCGTATAAAAGAATGTTCCCCAAAGTCTTCTCGAAATAAACTTGAATTCCATGAGCAACCTCCGTGTAGATGTCGCTCCTGTCCAGTTAGGCAGAAAGATTATATCCATACCTTATCATAGGGATAAAATAAATAGAAAATTTTCTTACTTTTCAGTTTTTATTGAGGATGAACGTTTGTACTCCAAATATTGCTTTAGAATTTCCGAGACAGTTGGCGACCGAGGTAATTTTAATAACTATAAAAATACATTGAAATTATTATTTTATCTGGAACAGATATCTACTTGGGATCATTTGGATTGTACTCACTGCGTGATTTCTTGTGATATTTTCCCAATCATCTATCAATCTGCATTTTAGCGATTCAGGCAGAGAGATTTTAATTTCAAGGCGATTCATAAATTCTTCTTCCTTAAAAACACCATAGAAAAAAAGCATTAGTATTTCCGGGAAAATCTTCACAGGTAAAATTATTGAAGTTCAGCATACATCATCTTCATCTTCGTCTATCGATTTGCGTTTTTTGGTGCGTTGCTGGCTTTGATATTCTTGAACATCATCATCTGGTTCTAAATGTTCTTCTTTAATGTCTAACATTTCTTCATCCTCTTCCTTAATGGAGCTTGCATCTGAATTAGGACTCTCGAGCTGCTCAGGAGAAGAGCTTTTCTGCTGGCCTCTATTAGCAATCTTTTGGCGATTTTGCATAAAATTATTTGTACGAGCTTGCGTTAATCGCTTTGATTGAGTTACATTCTTTTAGTTCCTTGTATAGAATAAATTGTTTCTGATAATTATTTGTAGGGAACTCACTAAAGGTTCCTGGGAAGGGGTATTCTGTCGTTCTTTGTTTGCAGATTTCTTTTTCTTATTGGTATATGTGTCTTTTAGTTGCTTTTGTCTAACCAAGTTAGCATCATTGTATTTTACAACTCTCTCTTCTGGAACCCACTCATCCCACCTATCAAATTGGTATTTAATAATAGGAAACTTGATCTGAGCTGCATCCAATAATCATTTTTGAATCGCTTACATACGTTTTTTTCCACCCTTTGTAATGCACAAAATAATGTGGACCGATTTCCCCAGATTCTGAATCATCGGGACCCCAATTTTCGGCTTTTAGGATCTAATAAAGTAAATAACTTTTCAGTTCTTTTGCTACTTATTACTGTAGACTGGCCTTAATCGTACAACTCACGCGATCGATTCTGTGATTGTTACCTTGGCCTCGTAGAGTAAGGGACCATGAAAGCACAAGATCAGCTCGTCCTGTGAAAAATTGAGTTTTATCTCTGCGTTTTCAGTTTTAGCCATCCGTGCTAAACTTGCTTCTACTGCGGCTGTTCAAATAAGATTGCGTATAAGTGAGAACAATGCTTTTACAAGATTCCCAAAGTCAAAATGTCTAGCAAATGAACTGACGAATCAACATCGAATCTCGTCATTAATAGCGGGATTATGTCACATGAGTGTCCGATCAATAATTTTGATCTAGAAACAGAAAACCACATGATTCCTTCTATTAACAATGAAAGTCTGAATATGTGAATGGAAAAGAACGTTAGCTCGAGGTTTGTTAATTTTAGGATCTTGCCATATTAAAGACATGAATACTTTGCCATGGTGACACTAAGAATTATTTTTATTAAATAGTCAGACTTCCTAAATACAATCTTCCTTAAAGGTCCAAATATATACTAGACTTCCATAAAATGCAATTTTTCTTATTGTTCTATAAATGCAAGCATTTAGGAAGATTGACTATATATATATGGTTAGGATTGAATATAAATTCTATGTAGTTTCTTTTTTTCTATTTATTTAAGCTTCGTTAAAAGTTGAGAACTTAAATTTTGGTTTAACCGAAAGGACATCATTTTGACAAAGTTAGCTGCTATTGGTCTAATGCTAAGAAAAAATGGCCTTCGGAAAATCGTACGGTAACCTTTTTCTTGTCCTGATGACAAGGAAGTATAATTCGGGTAAACAAGCCAAATAATTTGTACAGTTCTGAAACAGCATATAAAATACCAGTCTAAAAAATTTCGCTGGCCAATCAAATTTCGAGATCAGGTGTACGTGAAAAAAGTTCAAGAAACTAAAATAATCCATAGCTCGAATTTTGTCTATGAAAATGCCTTCTGCGTATTAACAAAATGGGTTTCTTGCAAAATTTCGGTATAACTATAACCCTCTAAGCCTAACCTACTTGTAATACCCTAACTCTAACCTAATAGCGAAATGTTTTTCTTGGTTTTGCATTAGACATGTATCCACGTGACTTTTTAATCAACCAACGAAATTTTATTTATACGAAGTTGTTAACAAATAAAGAAAACGCAACAAGACGAAAAACGGAAGTCTAAACCTGTCTTGGGACACTAATTAAAAATGTCGGGAAGGCGATTTTACCTATATTTTTTCTTTATACTAATATCAAGCTAACTCTAATCCTAACCTATTAAACCGTCAAAATTGGCTACAAATTAAGGAAATCGAATTCTAGAATGATTTCTTTAATTTGATTGGTCATTGCACACTTCTTGCCTTATATGGGGGACGTTTAAAGCCTGGCACCTTCCGGTTTTCCGATTTTTATCGCATTTCTGACACTTTTACTTAGTGCATCAAGACCAGTTTAGATAGCCATTTTTTATATTTTCGTGTTTTCGGCTTTGTCGGGTTGTTCGGAATAATACAGGACGCATATCGGGCAATTTCGTAAGGTGCCAGGCTTTAAACGACCCCTTATATGTTGTAACAATTTTTTTAATAAAAATTAATTTTCATAGTAGTTGTAAATATTTAGTTTCATAATTCCAAATAATCTTGTAAAATTTTTTTTCTTATAAAAATAGATAAGACAAAAATATTTTAAGATTTCATTATAATATGTATTTTAAAGCCAATTTTTAAATTTTTTTTTTAAATATACAATGATTTTAATGCTTTGTTTTGCTAAAATTTTATAAGAAATCAAATTTTTTATTCATAAGTTGAAAACAAGATTATGAAGCACTCAAATCTATATTGATACTAATGATAGATTTGGTTTTTTTATATATAGAAGGTGCTAGTAGAAACCAAGCAAATTGTTTCTAAGTAAATTTTTTTTAAACTTTAAAGTAAAATATCTTAACAATTATTGAACCAAACTTGATAAATTTTTTTTATTTTAATTTCATATAGTTATAGAATTAAAATAAAATAAAAATCATCAAGCTGGTTTAATAGTTATTGAGATATTTTAATTTAAAATTTAAAAAAAACATATTAAAAACAATTTGCTTGGTTTCTATTAACACCTTTTATATAATAACTTTATTTAATACAATAATAAAATAAAATAACTAATTTGTTATTTAAAATATTTATTTATTATTAATTTTTAAAAATCTTTGTATATTTTAAAATCTAATTGATAATGTAATTTTTTGATCTTTTAGAATTATTTATAAGATGTGATAATCTAGTGAAATGGTTAGATTGTTAACTTTCAAGTGGCAAGTTCAGAGTTCAAATCCTAGTATCAATAAAAAATTTGAAAATTTTTTCTGTATTATAATTAACTGTCTCTTGCAATTAGTTGAGATAAGATATCTGTTATCTATGTATACCAGCATGATTAACAGATCATATGACAATTATGTAACAGCTACATGACATTGTTCTTTGGAACAAGGTCTGTAGTTATATGAAGAAATGCAAACTAGTACCAGGTAGTGCAAACTTACAATAAGTTCTTGTGGTCATATAAATCATAAGAACCAAATGAAAAAAGATAGAAACTTACTTATAAGATCTGAATAGAGAGATAATTCAAACTTTTGACAATGTTACTATAAAAACTAGACTTATGAAATGGAGTTAAAACTTATGAAACCAGACAAATATGCTAGTCTTTGAGAAAGAATTGAATAAACCAACTAAGTTGTCAGAATTTCTGGATTTAGAAGAAAAGTATATATACTAACAAATATATAAATCAGAAATATATAGTTATAATTTGTCTTTTTAATCCATTTGGATTAACAACTTAATGGAACTTGAATTGAATACCAAAATAATAAAAATATGTTGTAAAGTCAGTACTAGAATTGGGAATGAACTCTATAAAAGCTTAGCAGTTTAATAATACATCTTGATTACTAATATTAGTCTTAACTATAATAATATCAGATTAACTATAAGAATAAAATACAGAAGATTCTAAAAGATTTAATAAAAGATCAAAAATTTCTTATATGAGTGAATTGTTTTAAAGACTTAATGATTATAATATATTTTTATTGATATTAACTAGAGTTATTGATAAGTAGAAATAAGTGAATAGATACAGAAATTAAAATAATTAAATAAGAAACCTAAAAGCAGATTCTAGGTATGACAACTAGTATAAAACCTTTAGATGAACTACTTAAATTAGACAATAACTAAAGTTATATGAATGACTAATTGTATACTCTTTTTATGATTGTCTCCTGTAATTGTAATGCAATCATTAATCAAATATATTATTAATAAAATCCTGAATCACAAGTACTCACTTTAATATTTAAAAAAAAAAAAAAATTATTTCATTACTATTATAGGTTGAATAAATGAATAAAAGATAAATAATAGATAAATAACAGAAAATAATCTGTCATTATTTTACTTTATATCTGTCAAATAATAGTAATATAATAGCAGAATAATAGTAAAATAACAAAAGGTTTTCAATATAAGCAACATAATAGTAATATAATAACAAAATAATAGAACAATTCTATTATTTTATTTTTAATTACAAAGACTAAAAGTAAAATAATAGAACTATTCTATTATTTTGCTATTATGTTACTATTATGTTATTCATATTGACAAACCTCCTATTATTTTACTGTTATTTTACTATTATGTTGCTGTTATGCTGTCATTATTTGACAGATATAAAGTAGAATAATGATGGATTTTTTTTCTGCTATTTACCTATTATTCACCCTTTATTTATTTGTTTAACCTGTGATATAATGCAAGATATTTATACTTAATGGTTATATAAAATGATTCAAATTTTCAAATAACTATAACTTTTTATCTAAAAGGTTTTAAAAAAATTTTATCAATAACTTTATTAGCTTTACATATATGTCAAAAATTCCATTACTGTAAAAAGTTTAATAATTTGAAAATTGAATTATATAAATTTACATATATATAATTTCAATTTTCAATTTTCAAATCGTTAAAACTTTTACAATAATGGAATTTTGAAAAAATATTTGATATATATGTAGAGCTGATATAGCTCTATAAAGTTGCCGATCAAATTTTCTTAAAACCACTTAGATAAAAAGTTATAACCATTTGAAAAATTGAAACACTTCATGTAACTGTTTAGTATAGATGTCTTGCACCATATAAGATGTAATCCACACAAATTTGGAGTGAGTTTTAGGGATACCTTTTTGATGCAGTTAGAGTGAGTAGGTTATACAGATATCAAAAATACAATTTATGTAGTATGCAGATCGTATATTAAATTAAGTTTGCTTTAACCGGCCCCCAAAAATTTGGTATATTCCCGGACTGAAATTATCAATCTACTTTGGCACGAAATTGCATCACATAATCATTACAGAACACATTTATTTGTTAAACAGATTAGTCTTAAACTTCTAGCAAAAGAAAAGTAACTGATAAATAATGCTAACACTATTGTATAACGATTATTATTATGAAATGATGAACGTGTATTTAAGTTATTGAAAAAATATTACCAATATCCATTTGTCAAGCCACAGGGTAATGCCTAAGTTTGTACAAAAGTGCTTTACCCTTATCATTACCTATAGCAATGTAACCGCTTGCAGGCGAGAAATCAAAACATTGAACGTAATTAAGAGGAGTCAAATTGTTTGGCCAATTTGGAAACACATTAAGAGATGGTAAATGTACCTGCCACAAAATCATAAACAGTTTTTTTTTTTAAAAAAAAATGTATGAATAAAGTAAAAAGCATTAAAGAATATATTTTTACAAGTGCAAATTTACCATTTTTAATTGATTTTTTTTAGAATGACTCGAGATTCCAAGTATTTGAGCATCATGATTGAATTTCATGTCGTGAACGCTTGTCGTCAAATTCATAATTGACCTTAAAGGCTTAGGATTTGGTAAAACTAAGCAAGTCTCGTCATAAACATTAACGATACCAGAATTAGATCTATTTAAAGATGAAATTAGAAATTTTGGGTGCCAATTACAAATAGTGAAATGGCAAATTTCACTAACCCAATAGCAAAGTATTGACCATTCTTCGATACTGATATCTTCATAGGCTTAAACCCTCCATCATCTCTAAATCGATGGACACATCTTCGCGTATTAACATCCCATTGATATACTTCTGCATCACTTCCAACTGAATACAAATATCGACTATCACCAGACCAATCAATAGATGTAACAGTACCATTCATTTTCATGTTTGCGACCCATTGCTTAGTTCGATTGCTGACCAAAACCAAATATCCACTACTTCCTGCAAAAACAATATATTGTCCGCAAGGAGAGATTGAAAAATTTTCTAGTGATTTATCTCGGAACCCATAAATCCCGTTAGATTTATTGATGCTTCCAGCTTCAATGTTAAATATATAAAAGTATTTTTTCTGTCCAGCAGCAATGATTTCAGTCCCATTTGGGTTGAATGCTGCTCGATAAATGGGCAGATCTTTCAGTACGAAAGATTGGATTTTCGGATTGATTTTACCATCTATTTGAAATAAGCGTATTGTTTTATCTAACCCAGCGGTCATGGCAACTTGTGCATTTGGATGAAAAGCGATACTTTGAATTACACTTTGTGAATAAGCCTGTTGATTGACATGTTTCATTTTTGTAACTTCAAGCTTTTTTTTTGATATTAACTTTTTTACTGTATCTAATTCATTAAGTGTGTCAGACTCATTGCGAATGTCTAGCACTTCCAGTGGTTCATCATCTGATGAGTCAGAATTGTCTTGAGTTTGTCTTTTTCGTTTTGAAGGAACAGTGGCCCAATTAGGCGTTGGGTATAGTTTCTCAAATTGTTGTCTTAGTCGTTTCTCATATTGATCACCGGATATAACATCTTCATCTTCATTTTTTCTTAATTTTTTTAACATACTTTTACTTTGTAATGATACACAAACTTTCTCATCATCCGAATCTTCCCATGCACCTGTTGGATCTTCTATTATTTGATTTTGTGCATTCTCTGTTTTTTTCGTATCCGAGCCTTCCTCTACTATTTGATTTTGTACATCCTCTATTTCTTCTGTATCTGAAACTCTAAAGTTATCGATTTCTACTAATATATCATAGGATGGTTCCGTATTCAGTAGGTTTTTGTTAAGTAATTGTGACATTTTAAATTGAAATGAGTTGTTTTTTAAAAAAATTTTGGTGATAATTTATATAGATCGATGTCCTAATTACTATCTATTTTAGGCTTAGACAGCATAGTGGGTTTTCATTCTGATTGACTAATCTATGTAGATCATATCTTATCATAAGAAAGTCTTATTAAAGCAACGATTTTCCGTCACGTCACAAGATTGAATTCCGAGCCACGAATACGAATTCCGAAAGGTAATTGAAACTTTACGTATTACTTTATAAACTTTCAAAATAAGTCGGTAATCCGCGAAGTAATTCGGAAGTTAGATGAGAGTATGTCTGAATATTTCAATTTAGCCAATAAATCATAAAAATATAATATACAAATCTATTTAAGTTTAGTAAATTGTTTCTGAAAGACTTCTTTTTAATTTATTTTATGTTTGATTTATAAGCCCAAGACAGTAAAATAGTTTAGCGAAATAATTTAGTAACAAGACTAGCAACACGAAGTAGTGAAATAATTTAGTAACAAGCCTAGCGACACGAAGTAATAAAGTATAAGTTTGTAAGTTTTGGAATCGACCAGGGCGGCCCCCAAAGTGCGGATCGATGGCGCAGCTACAGCCGCAGCTAACGATCTACCAATCATATCGTGTTGTACGATATCAATTTTTTAAATGTTGAACCTCTCAATGAATACTTACACTACTAAAGAGGAATCACATACGCGTATTAATTTAAATAAATTTATTGTCTTTAATGTATTATATGTTGTTGGTTTTAAGAGCTAAGTATTAAATTATATTATATTACTTTAATTTTTAAGGCCTGGGACGAATTGGACGTGGATTGAACAAGTAAAAAATCCAGTGATAAGTTCTATTTTAAAACTCAAAGGTGATAGACTAACAACAAAAAATATGAACTTTCAAATTAAAACTGCTCTCAATGCAATAATTAAATAAGCTTCTAATTCTTTTTTGCATTGTGATTCTGTTTCTTTACTAATTGTACTACTGTATTATTCTCCATTGTTATCATCATCATTTGCATAATTTTCTGAATATGACAAGTACATAAGGTAAGGTTTTCTTGTATTTTCTAGGGTCCAAGTCAGTTGTTGGTGTCTTTGTTACTTTGCAGCTCAAATATCTTCTTCTATTAGCACCATTTTACTCTATTTAATCATAGTACTAACCTGTAACTAATTATTGAAAGTTTTTTTTAAGCAGATCTGTTCAAATGCCTAAGTAAATAATTCTCAATTTGATTTGACATAAGAATAGGCCTCTTCATATAGATCTTCATTTAAATTAATATTGCAATTGTCAGAAGGATTATTGACATTATGGTCTTTAACAACTTGTGTTTCTAATAATGCAATATTATTACTCTTAATGTTTTTTAAAATAAGAAATAATGATACTGTATAATGTTCAAATTTATCTCTAATTAAATGTTATCTCTTTTCATCAAATATAGTTACTATCTGTTTTACTAAATGTTTGCATAACAAGAAATAACTATTAATAAATACAAGGCAGTTACAAACCTAGTAGATAATATTAGTAAAATATTATCTATCCTTATTTGTAGTTTTTGTATTAATGGTTTATTTTTTTTTACTTGAAGATAGATATAATTAAGTTAGTTTGATTTGAAAATCATAATTTGAGACATTAAAATTATAGTTAAAAATAAAAAAAATTTTGATTTATATTCAAACTATAATTTTGGACCAATATTATCGACCCGTTTTTCAAATTTCCTTATTAGAGTGATCTACACATAGATTGGCCAATTAAATTGTAAAAATTTTTATGAAGCAAAGAAAAACAAAAAACTCTGAAAATACAAGGAAAGGATATCGAAACCTCTCTTAGAGAACTAATAAAAAATATCGGGGCTAAATGTTACTTATACTTTTTGCCTAATAACTAACCTCTAAGCAATCCTAACTCTAAGTTTAATTGCTTTAGTTTAACATCTTTCCAAATAAGGAAATTTGAAAATGGTTCAGTAATATTGTTCATAATTTTGTTAGTTTGAATCAAACTATATTTATTTTTGTACTTATGATTATGTTTATTAGCATAATGGATTTTAGTCTGTTTTTTATTACTTGCATCTGCATATATTTATTTTTTTAAAAGTTTACTTACCAATATGACTCTATAGTGTTAGCCAAAATCTGAGAGAATTGATTTTTCTAATTTAGAACTATTTTAGTAAAAAGCATCTATATTAAAAAATCTAATCTTGATTAGTTAAAATAATACAGATAATGTTTTTTAATTACACTTCAATGGGTCTTTATTTTAATAGTAGTTTTTTGTAAAGTATAGTTGGTTTAGTTGATCATGCCAAAGGTACTATTTTTGTAATAAAGGTCAGTTTGTCTATAAGTAGGCTTAAAGCAATTGTAATTTGTTTTTAATACAGAAATGATATATCCCTCTTACTGTACTCTTTCTAATAGTCTCTAAAGTCATCATGTTTTCTTGAGAACCAATCAGATTAATAAATGCATGTTAAAGTAGTATTTTATTATTTTTAAAATTGTTTCCTGATATAAAATAAACAGACAATATATATTTGTAAATTATAGTTTAATTTTAATAAATAAAAGTTAAGATTAATAAATTTAAACTTGTTAACTGCATTATTAAGATTATAATTTACAGATATTGGTCTATTGTTTTTTGTCAATTTTGGTTTTTCTTCTAGTTTATGCTTTAGAGTTCTATTTACAAAAATATGAATTTAATAATAATATAAATAAAAAATAAAAAAATAAATAATAAATAAATAAAAAATAATAAAAAATAAAATAATAAAAATAATAAAAATAAAATAAATAAAAATAAAATTACTAAAAGATAAATAAAAAATAAAACAAAAAAAATAATAAAAATAAAGATAAATAAAAATAAAATCACTAAAAAATAAATAAAAAATAAAAAAATAATATATACTGTATATATAATAAACTAATAACTTAAAAATTTTAATATACTCTATTTTAAAAAAAACTCTCTTCTATAGATCACTTAACCAAATCATCAAGAAGCAAAAACAGAAAACAATACAGAAATATACTAGTAAATAATACTTTAGCCTATAACAAAAAAGATAGAATAATAAAAGTTACATATAACTAAAAACAAGAATATAAATAAAAGCTTATAAATAGTATAACAAATACAGATTGAATAAAAAAATATTAGTGCCATATTAGCATTTTTTTTAGACCTGATATTAGACTAATATTAGTTAAAATTTGGCTAGAATTAGAAATTTATAAAATAAAAATCAGTGTCATATCAGCTTTAAGCAATATTAAAAAGCCAATAACTCTATAGACAAATTAATAGTGCTATTAATCAATTGATTAATAGCTATTGATCAATTAATTAATAACATTATCAATTTATCTATAGAGATATCAGTTTACCAACCTTGCTTAAAGCTAATATGACACTGATTTTTATCCTATAAATTTCTAATTCTAGCCAAATTTTAACTAATATCAGTCTAATATCAGATTTAAAAAAATGCTAATATAGTCATTTGATCTGTAAAAAAAACGAAAATAAAACTTTCAGTAAAAAAATTTAGTTTTTGGATATTTTTTGGCAAATAGTGTTAACTTTGTCATACAAATCACTTAGATTCATTAGCAAAAATTATAGACTGATATATATCAATCATTATCTATGCAGATATATATCAATAATAATCCCTCTGTTGGGTTATATCGATTAAGATAAAGATCGATATATAGCTGTTATAACAGAAAATCACTATTAATCAATTATATAAAAAATCTGATATATATCGATATTTATCAAATAAATTTTATATTATTAATTTATAGCAATAAAGCAACAATGATACTATTTTTAAAAATGCTTAAAGTGATAATTAGTTTTATTAAAATATAACCTTTATTACATGCATATATTCGATATTAAAACTGATGTATTAATATTAAAAAAAACATAATACAAAGACAAAGAACAATATAAAAAAAAAAAACAAAAAATAATACAATTTAAAGAAAAAACATAATATAAAAAAAAAAATTACAAAAAAAACTATTACTAATACTTGATTTTAAACAATTCATTTATCTCTTCTTATGACATCGATGGACTTTTTCAAAAATAAGTTTCAGAATCAGAATCTTGAGGCAAGGTTTCTCTTGATCATTCATTACTTCCAGCTTTGTCATTTAATATATTTTGTGCAGACTCATGCGATAGACCACCACTTTCGAAATCTTTTTATGCAAATATATCAAATGTTAATACTATTAACTCTAAAAACAAAATATATAATTACTTACCAAATATTGTTCAATTCTATGTCTCATACATGATTTCTTATATAAAATGCTTTGTGAGTAGGGGTTGAGAAGGATGTCACAAACTGCAAGCGTAAATGCACAATGTTCACTAGTTATAGAGGGAACTGCCATTGTAGTAAAAACTGTTCTTGTGATAAGAGACACCCAAAAGACACTCTCATTGTTTTTTTCAAAAAGTGCGTGATAGCAAGCACTTACTTCTGAACTTTCCTTCCACTTTACAATATTAGCTGCAGCCATATTACTTCTTAACTAGAGCAACTTCTTAATTCCAAAAACACTCCAAATTGCTGACCTAATACTTTAAAAAGCAGTACTATAGGTGTTCTTAATTTTTTTAGAAGCTATATAATGTAAATTGTAAGTATTTGGAAAATTGAAACCAAAAACTAGCATAAACAATATATAATAAAAAATCATTATCTTTTTTTTTTTTTAACTTAGGCAGTCTTGCCGATCACTTTTATTAAGATTCTTGTATATATGTTATACAAAGTTGGCTTAAATTTTGGTTCAACATCCCTCGGCTACTTCTATGAGTGCCTAAAAGCAGTCTGCCGCACAGGCCAGATGATTATTCCTGGCCTGAGGCTATACCAAGCTAGCTAGTAAGACCCTAAAAAAAGAGTCTTACATTTCTATTTACAAAACTAAAAA